GCCCATGCTGAACCTCACTTAAGCAACTCTTAAGAGTGATTTCAGTGCTGAGCAGGAGGTGCGATACCTTTCGGTGTTTCCAAGGGCTATGCGAGTGGATTGCAAGGCTTCTTGACCCAAATCATGGGGTCCAACCTCCGTTGGTGTAAATGAGCATATCCCCAGCGCAACATCGGTGCAGTTACATCCATTTACACCAGCTGAGGGCTTGGTCTGAAACTCTTAAGCAAACCCTGGCTTCGATGGGGCTTTTTGGTTGTTTTTTGGGGTTGTTGGTTTTGGGTTTGTTTTTTTTTTTTTTTTTTTTTTCTGTGTGTTAACCAGCACATCTCGTTGCTATTTCATTGCCTTGGAGCAGACTGGGACGTGCACACCTTGGGACGATGGAGGCTTGTGTCTCATAGACACGTCAAGAGCATTTGGGGGGGGATTCCTTCGTGGGGTTTGAAGATTTTGGGGCTGTTTTGGGCTATTTGGTCTTTGTCCAAGCCAGTATTTGGGTTGAGGTTGGCATTTTCTTCCTTGAGGTGCAAGCCAGTGCTGACTCCTTGCTTTATTACAGGGCTCTGTGAAGTGGGGGGTTGACTGGGGAACCCCTCGGTAGGGCGGGCTCCCCGCGGCTGCGGGGACACTCGGCTCCATGCGCTGTTTCTCTCCTTGCGAAGGGATTGTGATGATTTTTTTCTTCCTCTCTTTTTGAAGCAATGTGTTCTGCTTTGTAAGGAATAACGGATCTCTTCTCCGCGTACAATGCACCTATAGCTAGGACATGCGTATCCGTGGGTCTGGAGTAGCAGCGGTCGCTTTGCTCAACGCCTCCCATCCTCCAGCTTTCTGATCGAGGGAGTGGCTTCCTACCTTTAGTTGCTTCTTTGAAAGGAAAAAGTAACCAAATTCAGCCCCGTCCCCATTTTATACGGCCGAGCAAGACGCGCTGCGGCCGTGAGCCGGTTCTCTCCGCTGAGATGCAAACGGGACGGTGCGAGAACTGCCCGTGCTTCGCTTTCGCTGTTCACTGCCTTGTGCTCCCCAGGTACTGTCCTTCCGAAACGTCCCCTCACAGCACTTCTGTGTGTAACTTTTGGGTTTATGAAGATGTTTTAAGGGAAAAAGAAAACAGCTCACACTTTTAACACAAACACCAAGCTGAAAGAAGGCTTGAATACTGCAGCGTGCAGGTTTTTTTCACGATACCATGTGTTACATTTTTCACAGGATTCTTGCACTAATGGTTTTCCATCTGTTCTCTCTGTAAATGGGTGCACTTTACTGTTTGAATTTGTTACTATGATAAATACTGGATATTTAAGCGTGAGTAGTGTCTTCATTAGAAAATAGCAAAACAGCTCTTGTCTCTTAGTGTATTTTTCAAAAAAAAAAAAAAAAAAGAAAAAAAGAAAAGAAACGAAGCAATGAATCATAACATTTATAGCACAAGAACTGACTCTTGTATATAAGCATCAACAGATTGAGTAATTTTTAAATACAAAATTATTTGCAGTGGTTTTAAAGCACTTCCCCAGCAATTCTCCTAGGGACAGCTGAGGCAGAATAAGGAGCACACCTCTCCTGGAAAAGCCGTTCTTTACACAGCCCCCCACGTCCTCGAAGTCCCGATCCAGGTTTGGGATGGACGAAAAGCGGAGGCGGTTCCGTGCTGCGCTGCCGTGACGTGGTCCCGTTGCGAGGCGCGGGGCTGCGCGCGGGGCTCGGCGGAGCTGGAGGCTCAGATCCCCGCCCTGACGGCCCCTCGCCCGCCCGCTCAGCCCGGGCCGGGAGCTGACGAGCCCCGGCCGCGTTGCGGGAGCACGCGCGGCGTTCCAGCTGCAGTGCTCTCTTGTCCGTCTGTGCTGTGTTTGTAGTTACTCTTGGGGTAATTAAGATGTGAGGTGACGCTGCCAGCCGGCGCCTCCGTCCCCGCCCCGGCTGCAGCGGCGCCGCTGGCGAGCCCCCGTCTTGCGAGCGAGTCGGATTCTTAGGGGCACCCCGTAAACCAGGTTCTGGATGACACTGAAGCCTCCAGGTTTGGTTCTTGGGGCGCGTTGGGTGGGCGGTGCTGAAGCCGAGCCCTGCACCGCGCAGCCCTTCCCACCAGGTGTGTCTCATCCTCTGCCCGCAGCCGCTCCGGGAGCTGGGTGTGCTGCCCAAAAGCTGAAATCTTCTCTCCCAGCTTCGGGCGGGGGTGCCTGCCACGTCCCTCGGTGCGGATTCACCAGCTCTTGCTTTGTCTCCCAGGCTGGGAGGGTGCTCGGGTCCCAGGGGGAGGGGACACCCGCCGGGTGGGGGGGCTCTGCCGGGGTCCCCACCAGCCAGGCTGAGAATGGAACTCGAGGGCTTTGAAAATAATCTTCAGTGGGCATCTGAAGTGCTTAGGAAAGGGAGGGTTTCACCAAGAGATCCCTTGGGATCCGGCTCCAAAGGCAAAGGTGCCTCACAGCTGGAGCCGCCTCCTCCGCGGCGCTGCTTGGGAGGGCGCAGGCTGGCCGGCTCCCCGCAAACCCAGGCGTGCGTCTGTCCATCTGTCTGTCCGTCTGCCACATGGCAGGTGGGTCCGTCCGAGCACTGAACTTTTTTGTTGGTTTTTTGTTTTTTTTTGTTTTTTTTTTTTTTTCCTTTTTCTTTCTTTCACCTGGCTGTAAAGAAAACGGCTTGGCTAGTGTGAATGAACATTAGTGTGTGCGTATGACAAATACCTAAGCCATACTTGGATTAGGTCCGGAACCAGGGTGACTACTAAATTTGGAGCGGTTCAGTCCCCTTGTACAAAGGTTGCTGTATATTCAGGGTTACCCAGAAGAAGTCTAGCTAAAACCGAAGTGCCAGCTCTGCCTTATCTAGAGAAAAGCAAGCCGGCGTGCCTGCTCGTCCTCCGCCTTCCTTGCAAAGGTGGGTCTGTGGTGAGCTGTCGCGAGCTCTTTGGTGGTTGTACTTTAGTCTTGGGAATTCAAGATAAATCCTCTACCGGGATTAACCAAGGGCTTAGGGGAAGAGCTGTCGTACCCGCTGGGACCTCTGCGGATAAATGCCTTCACCCCGTGCTGGTTGCTCTGCGCGAAGTCTGGTGGGGTGCGTGTTGGACACAAAGCACAATGGTTGAAAGTTAATCTGCGTTTTTTTCAGATGTGTGTGAATAATTGCTGGATTTTCATTCAATCAAACTCTTTTTTCTAATATAAACCACTAAGGGCTCAATTCTTTAGCAAGATGCGTTCATGTCCAACTCCTTGACTATACAGCTGGATCTCACCACAACAGTTACAGACCTACCCGAGAGAAAACACAGCTAGCACGACCGTCACCGGGAAGGCCAACGGACACCAAACCCATCCGCCGAATCCTTTCCTCCTGCTCATTTTCTAGCTCTTACAGTACTGGGGAGTCGGCAGCCAGGTCCCCTCCGACGGGATCGCATCCTGTGGTCTTGAAAACAGAGGGCTGCTTTGCCAAAAGACTTTGTCCCTTCCAGGTGACGCTGTGCGGGACGGCGGCGAGGCGGCGGGTCGGGGTCGTGCTGGGTGGGTGGGAAAGCCTCAACGCCCAGGGAATTGGGTCACTTCGCCGTGGGTCTTGCCTCGCTGTGCACTGATAAGCCAGACACTGAGAGCAGCACTGTGTGCTACGTAAAGTCCATTTTGTTGCTACACCGATAACCCAGAGACTCGTGTGGACTCTGCCAGTACTGCCGGTGTCATCCCTGTCCAGCCTTTTCTTTCCCATAGTGTTGCAGTCAGCGTTTCGTCTCCCTTCTGTCTTCACATCCGAGAGGATCTGAGTTTGGTGCAAACACGTACAGTACACACACCTTGTGCTTTGTACAGTTCCCTGGTTGCCATCCTCCGAGACACTTGCTGGGAAGATCTTTAAGACACTTAAATTTTCCTTTAGCTTTTCTATAATTCTGATGTAAAGGACTTTCTCTGTACAGTATATTATTCAATGCATGTTCTGTTCTCTCTACTGATATATTGAACACCACACAGTTGTGATATTGTGCAGTGGGAAGAGCAACCCCTGCCGACAGCGGAGGCCTTCGCCTCTCATGTATAAGGAAAGAAGAAAACATATTTTTCCTTTGCTGTATTTGCTTGAGCAGAGTTTTCTTGTCTGTACATGTGAGCTGTGAGATAGATGTGAAAAGTTCAAAAGAATGCATTCCCCCCCCCAATGTATACAGATTGTAATCTGTACAATGAAAACTGTATGTATGAAAAAATGTACTTATTTATAAATGGTTAACACTTGGAAACGGCGTCTGGCCTGGTGTTTTTCCCACGCTGCTGTGAGTGAAGGAGCGTGCCGCGGCTTCTCGGTGTGGAAATAACCTGGGGCTGTCAGGGCGGCACAAGAGTTGGATCTGGCTGTCACTGTGCGGGGCTGGGGACAGGGAGCTGGCACCGCCGGGAGCGGGAGGGAGGGAGGGAGCTGCATCAGAGTTTTCCTGATTTGCAAAGCACAGCTCGGCGCTGTGGATGCTCCCGAGAACTCGAGTGTCTCCTGGCTTCATCCCTGCAGCCACCAGCATCCCTGCCTGAAGCCGCCGGGCCGGGCTGGATGCACCACGCTGGGAGGCCGCGGCGCAGGTTGCGGTGAGCAAAATCCCCCCCAGTTTGGGCTTGTGCCTTTGCCGGGGGCTGCGTTTGCTTTGCAGTGCTGGGATCCGGGAGCTTCGCCCTCAGCACAGGAGACGATGCTCGGGGATGGTCCCCGCGGCTCAGGGACGCACCTCCTCGTGACGGTGGGTCTGCCCCGCGTCCGTGGGCACATCCAGTGGGCAGCCGGACCCTGGAGTTGTCCCCGTGGGGTCCCTCACGCAGCCACCGCTGAGCTCTGCAGCGCCGGGTGCACGGCACGGGGCCCGGCCAGGACAATCCCATCCCAAATACCCACCCTGCCCTCCCAAACCCCTCGGGCAGCTCCTCTCCGGGCTGCCCAAGGCACGTGGGAGCTCAGAGGTGCCCCGAAACAACGAGCTGGGGAGCAGAGACGGGAGGAGGACACCGTTAGCTGCAAACATTTATTAGGTCGGGAGCATCCACTGAGCAGACAACACATCGCGCGAGAGGGGGAAACATTTTGGATGTGAAGACACTGAACCTGCACAGACCCCGGGTCGCTCCGAGCCCCCCCCAGGAGCCCTTTGGGGGGGAGCAGCCCCCACATGCAGCCACGCTGGAGGGTGATGGGCTGCCAGCGAGTGGGAGATCTCGGTGATGGCGAACATCCCCTCTGCCCAGCGGCACAGAAAATGGGCCTGGGGCTTCGGCCGCTCGCAGCGGGGAAATCTGGGCTCCCACCCCCCGGTCCCCAGAGCAGGGCAGAGCCCGGGGACCCCCATCCTTCATGCCCCAGTACCACTGCCAGCCCCTGCCTCTGCCTGCGGCGCTGTGGTCCCCACGGGGCTGGGGCAGGCTCGGGGGGGTCGCCGGGGGCTGCGCAGGGCAGAGCTGAGGAAGATTAAGGCCAAGCGAGGCTGAACCCAACAGGCAGCGTGTCCTTCCCCAGCTGTCCTCGTCATCCTGAGCCAGGCAGAGCCCCAAGACACTGGAGACGGGGAACACAGGAATATCCCACAGACGCCAGGAGGAGCCCGTGCTGGGGACTGGGGAGCCGGGGGGATGTCACTGGTTGCTGCTGCCAGGGCTCTCGCCCTCCGTCAGGGTCTTGAAGTCCATGGAGAGGGCCAGCTCCTCGGCCAGCGGCGGGCGCTTCCAGTCATCCCGCGTCAACACGTAGCCCACCACCAGCCCAAAGGCCACCAGCAGCACTCCCAGGGTGTTGGCCAGGACACCCTCGGGCACAAAGTGGCTGTAGGAGTCCCTGCGGGAGCGGAGGGGGATGCTCAAGCCTCAGGGTGCAGGTGGCATATCCCTACCCTAGCTGGGACCCCCCTCCTCATCCTCATCCTCCAGGCACACACTGTGGGAAAGGTCCTTTTCCTGCAAATCAGAGCCAGAGGGGAGTGCCTGCGTGCTGCTCACTTTGGGGAAGGACACTCTTGGTGACAGCAGAGAAAGCTGGAGGCACAGTCCTATAGTGGGGCTATAGGCAGCCCTGCACCTGCTCCCCCAGCCAGAGGGAGGTGGCTCCCTGGGTGCCCCATAGCCATGTCCCCACGGTGCTGGGGCTGGGGGGGAACCCCAATATGCAGCTGCGTGCCTCCAGAGCAGAGGCCTCGGGGACATGAGCATCCCGGGGGTTTCTGAAAATCCCTGGCTGCAGAGAGGTGGCGGTGGATGTTTCATCCCCATCCCCAAAGAAAGCGGTCGCAGGATCCAGCCCTTGTTAAACATCATCTGGGAAGTGACTCAGCAGCAGCAGAACGAAAAGCCTCGGGGGGAGATTTGATAGCCACAGAGCCATGGCCTGAGCAGGGGCCAGACTCTGCCCCACAGGGCTGGAGCAGCCCTTTGCTGGGGGTCAGGAGGATCTGAGGGGCTACCACCCCCCCACCCCCCCAGCTCGGTCACCCACCTGATGTTGAAGAGGAGCATCTCGGTGATGCCCAGCAAGCAGGCGGCGATGGAGAGGGCAAAGAGGGCGATGCCGATGAAGACGTGCTGGGGTTTGTACCGGCCGCGCAGCGAGAAGGAGGCACCAGGGAACAGGAAGAAACCGCAACCCAGGAGCCACTGTGGGGACACGGGGATGTTATGGGGTGCTGCGGGGTCCCTTCCCCTCCCCGGGGGGGGGGCCCAGGGGGTCCCCAGCCCTCACCTGCAGGAGGTAGAGCACGAAGGCGGCCATCCCGCACCAGCTGTGCAGGCTGTACATGTCGGGGATGCCCTTGGTCCGGTGGGACTCAAAAACGGCGACGATGCCTGCGGAGAGGAGCCCGTGACCGCGGGGGGGCCGGATCCGGCCCCATCGCCCGGCCCGGCGCCGGCACTCACCGACCAGGGCGATGACCAGCGCCAGGCCGTGGAGCAGAGCGTGCAGCGCCTTGGTGGAGCGCTTGGCTTCGTGCCTGAAGACCCGGTAGACCAGCAGAGCTGCCGGAGAGAGGGCAGATGAGCATCCATGGGGGTCCCCCACCTCCCCGGCACCCCGCATCTCCCAGGGGTGCTACACACAGGTGGGGGGGGGGGGGGTGGGGTGGTTCTGGAGCATCTTCCCAGTCTCATTTGTCACCATTTTGTCCCCTTCACTCCCCGCCCAGCTGCAGCTCCAGGGCCTTTGAAGGCTGCAGCCGGCACAGGGCACTTGTCCCGCAGTCCTGCTCACCGTCACCTTGGAGGAAAACCATGCCCAGCACCATGCAGAGGGGGTGGACATTGAACTGGAGGGGGCTGTGCCAGGCCACGCCGCCCCGGTAGCGGCCCAGCCAGGCGCCCGTGGTGGCCAACAGCGTCAGGCCCAGCAGTTGCGACACGACCACGTACGCCGAGAGCCCGGCGGGGCTGGCGGGCAGCGGAGCCCCGTCCATGCCGGCCTGCGGGGACAGAGGTTGGGGGGGCGGCGAAGCCACGGCTGGCCCCGCACGGCAGCGGGGGGCCCGGCCAGCCCCGCTGCGGGGTGGGGGGAACCTCGGGTGCTGCCGCTCCGCCCTCACCTGCCACGGAGCCCGACGCTTCCTGGTGCCGCCGGGGCCGCTGCGTCACCCGCACCCGGAGGTGGCTCCCGGCCACCTCGGCACGCCCGGCCCTGCCATCCTGCCCCTGCCACCCCGCTCCTGCCCTCCTGCTCGCATCCTGCCCGCCCCGGCCCTCCAGCCACACCAGCCCCCCCCCGTCCTTGTCCCTCCATCCCCATCCCACCCACTCCACTCCATCCCCATCCCACCCACGCCACTCCATCCCCATCCCACCCACGCCACTCCATCCCCATCCCACCCACTCCACTCCATCCCATGTCCCACCCTCCCCAGCTCACCCCACAACCCACCCACCCACCCCCCCCCGCCAAGCCCTGCTAGAGGAAGGCAGCGTAAGGATGAGCAAGGCTGCTCGGGAGCCTCCCCGTGACAAAAGTGATGGCCCTTGGGGACACGGGGCTGAGCAAACCCCTGTGCTGGGGGCGGGGGGATGGGGGGGGGAAGGACTCATGGTTACCCAACCACGCCGCAGCCACACCAGAGAGCTGCCCCACGGCACCCCGCGACCCACCTGCACCCGCGTCCTGCTTCGTGCTGGGTTATCCCCCGATGCTCCCCACTGGCCCGGGGATCAGAGCCGCCTCCACCGGCGCAGTCACCTCTCCTGCTTCTCCACCAGCCGGGGCCAGCAAGTCCCAACCCCAGGGGCCAACGTCCCACCTCTGCCCCAGCCCCACCGCGGCTGCCTCTGGGGAGGAGCACCCGGCCGGCTGCGGCAGACAGACCCACGGTGCTGCCAGGACTGGGGGGAGCATGGCGGGGAGGGGAGGGGGGGAAATGCATTAAGACCACGCACACACTTTATTCCCAGCCACCTTTATTGGATCAGCCGGATAAGTGAGTTAAGGGAATTGGTTTATCCCATTAGGTTGCACTGCAAAGGCCGCCTGCCCGCGCCCGGCATCACCGCCCCGGGGCCATGGGGGGCTCTGCGGGATGGAGGGGGGCAGCAAGAGGCACGGTCGCCTCCCTGCATCACAACAGCCTCCCCCAAACCCTCACCGCTGCCGTGGGGCTCCTGGCTCCAATGTGGAGGGGGCCAAATGGGTGCCCCACGCATCCTGCCCCACGCATCCTCCCGCCAGATGCAAACACCTGGTCCTCGCACGGGGGGGGGGGGGGTCAACCCAGTCCCCAACCACGCTGATGGAGGGACAGGGAGTGACACACACACACCCCCCCCCGACCCCAACCCCAGGAACTGGCAGCGGGACCCGGGGAGGTGCCCGTTGGAAAGGGGCTCTCCGAGTTGCCCTAAAACCAGCCCGTCCGCTGCGCCCGGCACCGCCGAGCGCTGGGAGAGCCGCAGGCAGCCAGGCCCCTTCGCAAATCTGTCCCGTGGTGGGGACCCGCCTGTCCCCCCACCCCACCCCCCAACAGCATCTCTGCACCCCCCAAACACAGCCCCAGTCCCCCACTCCCAGGGCAAAGCCAGCGCTCCCCACTTTTTTTTTGGGGGGGGGGGGGTGGGGTGGCGGGGGGGTGGATGTTGCAGTTAAACCCTCCCCAAATATTGTAGGGAGGGGGGGATGGTGTGTGCACCTTGCATACCCCAGCAGCCCCTCACCATGGCCTCTGGCTGGGACACCCCCACACCCCCACCCCCCCCCAGAATCCCTGGGGCGAGCCTCTGGGGGGGGGTTGTCTCTGCTCTCGATGGGGGGCTATAGGCTCATGCAGGGGAGGGGGCTCGCTCCAGCTCAGAGCTGGGGAGGGGGGGCCCTAATTGATTGAGGGGGGGGGGACACCCACACAGCCCCCCTGTGCCCCCCCAGCCCTACCTGTGGCTGCCGGGTGGTGCTGCCTGCGCCAGGCCCAGCGGTGACAGTGTCTGAGAGAGGGACAGGGCCCCCGCGTTGTCAAGGCAACGGAGCGATGGCAGAGCAAGGGGGGGGGGGGGGGGGCTGCACCCCTCCCCAGCATCGCTGCAGGGCGAGGGTATCATCGAAGACTGGGGAGGGGGGGAAGGAGATGCAAAATTGAGGAAGGGGGATCTCTGTGAAAGGGGGGGGGGGGGGGTGGTGGTGCGTGGAGGAGTGTCTGTGGATTGTGACGCCCATCCCCGAAGGGGTGAGTCGCTGGCAGCATGGGTGACCCCCCCCCCAGACCTGGCAGGCCCTGCCCGCACCCTCCTGAGCCCATGCACCCTCTTGATCCCTCGCACCCTGTGACACCCCAGCCCCAAACCAGGACAGGAACCCCACAACCTGGCTGGCTCAGCACCCGGGGGCCCTGTCCCGCATATGGGGGGCGGGGGGGGGGGGGGCACAGCGGCTCTGCCACCCTTTCATTTGTGTGTTTGGGCAGCGCTAACGAGGGCCTTGGGTGGCTCTGGCTTAATCGAGTCCCCGTTAATCCCTTGCACCCCCAGCAGCAGCATTGGGGTGCTGTGCCAGGAGCCAGCACCCCTCCAGGGTGGGCTTGGGAGATTACAGCGGGGTGACACGTCCCCAGGGACCCTGCACCTCTGCCTGCCCACCGCCCACCAAACACACCCCCCACCACCACCCCGGGAGCCCCTTCAGCATCTCTGGCCTCATCCTGCACCCACACCCCCCCCCCCCGCCATGGGGTGACCCTGAGGGAAAAAAAGCCCGGAGAAACGATATAAGGGGAGATGGGGCGGGGGGCTCATCCTGGCCCGGCTGCGGTCACGGTCCCCTCTCCCCCCCCCCCCGCCGTGGCTGTGTGTCCGTGTGTCCGTGTCCGTGTGTCCCACGGTGCCACTAGGTGTCACCAGGAGCCCGCGGTGAGCAGCGCCCTGAGGAGGGACCGACCTGGCGCATCCTCAGCCCTGATCACCCGTGGGATCCAGAGCGAGCAGGTACGGACCGGGTGGGCTCGGCACCATCCTCGAGTCTGGAGCCCCAAAGGGACCTGGTGAACCCCACTCCGGCCCAGATCACCCGTGGGAGCCAGCACAGCTCCACGCCCGGAGGGGCTGGTGGGACCCGGAGCACCCTCAGTCCCGGCCCACCCGTGGGAGCCGCAGCACCCTGGGACCTGGAATGGCTGGTGGGACCCGGCGCTCCCCTGGTGCGGAAGATCAGGTGTAACCGCCTCTGCCTGGGCGCAGGGTTGTTCCCCCCAGCCCTTCCCCTTGGGCTGCGCTCACCCACTCAGACCCTCCTGAGCACCCCAAAGACCCTACTGAGGTTTCCACCCTCAACATCCCCACCACCTTCTTCCAACCCCCCCACTCGCTGGGGACTTGCGCCATGGGGCACAAACCCCGGGAGCCAGACAAACCCACCCCCCCCCACCCCAGCGTGACGCAGCAGAGAGGAAATCCCGAGCAGCCTTGGGGCTCGTGGGAGACCTGTCGCCCCAAAAGCAAAGTCCAGGTCCCGCTGCAGCCCGGGGCAGAGTCCCAGGGCCACCACCCTGAGCTGTCACCCGTGGGGAACAACCCCACCGCAGCGGGAGGCCGTGTACGGCGCTGCCGTAGGAGCCGCTGCCGCCTCCCAGCCTGCGGCCGGGCTTTGCGGCTGTGCCGGTTGTTGGGAAATGGTTTACCAGAGTTAATCAGCCAAACCATAAAAGCCACCATAAACTGCAAACCTTGAGCCGTTGGGCTGTGTCCTAGCAGGAAAGGGCCGGCCGGGTGCCTGGGCAGAGCGGAGGGAGGATTTCCCCTACCGTGGTTCAGCTGAGACCCCCTGGAAAAGCCTCAAAGGGGTTGAGAACTGGGGGTTCTTCCTTTAGGATACTTGGCAAGACAAAACGCTTCGCCCTCTGCTGAGAACAACACTGTTGTAATGAAACAGCTTTAGAAATGTTTATAACTGCATCCAGCCCAACTAGCTTGACTTGCAGCCGCCGGAAAGACGTAGCAGCCCTCAACCCTACATCATTTAATGGATATGATTGCTTGTCCCATCCACACAACAGGGACAAACCCAAGGGTGACACATGGCAGAATTTGCGAAGGGGTCCCTGTACCCGCTGCCACACGCAAAGGGACTTGGTGGCAGCTGATCCAGCAACAAACGAGCCCCTTCAACGCCGGCCAGCACCCTCCTCTTACCAGGGAACAGCGAGCCATTTGTAACCAGCTCTTTCATTAAAGACATTGCCGGGGGCGTAATGGCTTTATTAAATCTGCCTGAGCTTTCCCTGAGCTGGCAATAATGAAATCCTCCCTGCACTGCCGGGATGGTGACGTGCCAGTCGGGTAGCAGAGCCAGGGCTGGCTGTCCTGGCATGGACCCGCGGGGCTCAGGGATGTTTGGGGCTGCTCAGGGGTGCTTGGGGATGCTCAGGGATGCTCCAGGTTTGTCCTGGGCTGCCAAGCACCCACGGATTGATAGGAGCATCACCAACTGATAATTCGTAGTAAAACCAGCAGGTCCTGTCCTTCCCTGGCTGCTCATCCTCACCCTGGCACGGCTGGCTTCCCCCCCTCCGCCAGTGATTATCAAATTACCATTTTGCTGACTTAACCTCTTTTGGTTTGTTTTGGGGTTTTTTTGTGTGTTTTTTTGTTGTTGGTTTTTTTTTTTTTCCTTCCTAAATCAGGTTTTTATCGCTTAAGAAATGCTAATTTGCAAGATGCCTCCTGGGAGGATTGCAGTTCAAGAGCCCAGCTGCATCACAGGAGCTGAGCTGATGCCTGAAACAACCCCACCCGCTGTGGTTCTCCATGAAACCCCAAACCTGGAGAAAAATTAACAGTTTTTTCACTAAATATAAGAGGAAAAAAAAAAATAGAAGTCATGTTGGAAGGCTCTATGGCTGCCAAGGGAGTGGCTGCGGGGTAGCTCAGGATTAAGCACAAATTGTCCCGTGGGGTCACATCACGGGGGTTGGTCCTCAGTTCCCCGGGGTCCTGTGAAGGCTGAAAAATGGATGGGTCCCAGTTAGGATAAAGCTCCCCTGGGAACCTGGCACCTTCCTGGGCCAGGGAACGGAGCAGCCCAGCTGGAAGAGACCCTAGATCTCCTCCTGGCAGTAATTAAGCCACCCTGTCCTCCTCCTCTCCAAGAACACAACTTTGCTGAGCCGGGCGGGCGATATGATCAGTGCAGCCAGTGCAAACACTTAATCTCTTTCAGAAGAGGCTGAAGGCACGTTTATGGCATTTTTTTTAATAGCAGCTTGGATAAACAGCCACGATAACCTGCACCAGGCTCGCAGCCGATGATTAATGCTCCCAGAGCAGTCACGCTCACTCGCCTTGGGGATGGGATCGTTTTCAGTTATTAAAGAAGGGAAAAAAAAAAAAAAAAAAAAAAAAAAAAAAGAATGAAATAATGGACTTTGCCATGTTTTATTGGGCTGATGGGTGTGGAGGGAACACATTGGCCTTTCTGCTCACCCTGTATCAGTGCCCAGCTCTGGCCAGCTGGTGAAGATGGAGGGATGGAAGGATGAAGGATGAGGAATGAAGGATGAGAGATGAAGGAGGAATGATGAAGGAGGAAGGAGGAAAGATGAAGGATGAAGGACAACAGATGAGGGATGAAGAAGGAGGAACGATTTCTGATGTTCCTAGCCATGTGCCTGGCACCGGGCACATCTCTTGCACTGATGCCAGGGGCTCCCCAGGGGCTCCCCAGAGGCTGACTTTTGGGGTCTTGCATTTATTTACAACCCTTCCAAGATGTGAACTTCATTTAGGGGCCCTGAGCCAATGGCTGCCTTCAGCACATTGCGTTTTCAGGCCCTTGCAATGTCATGGCTCATCCTCAGGCTGCTGCTCCCAGTCCAGAGGATGGAGCCTGAGGAGATCCTATGGTGGAAACCACCCCTCCATCCCCTTCCCACCCGCCACCAGCTGCCAGCCCGGCTCACGTGTGTCATCCACGCTCACACCAGGACCAGCCTCCCTGGGGCCACAAACCTTGTCCTAGGGCAGGCACGAGCTGGGAGGCTTTTCTGCGGGGCAGGCTGGAAATCATGCTGATAAGGAGAGTTTCTGCTGCGTTCAGCCCCCGGCAGGAGCTGAGTGAGCACTTGTGTTGATAAAGCAGCAATCACTGCTGCGGGGCCACGGGTGAGCTCCCCCTGGCCCAGTGCACCCTGTCCCCATGCAGAGGGGACATGACAGGCTTTAAATACATCTTTTATCCAGGGAAAATCTGGAAACAGCCCTGCGGCGTTGCCAAAAACCCTCAGCAGAGATATTTTGCAGGGAGCGAGGACTCCTGCATCCCTCTTGTCATCCCAGTCCCCAAGGCCAGGTGATGTTGAATGGCCCCAGCACTGGCCCCAGCACTTACTCTAACCAGTCATAATTATTTTAACAATCACAGGCCTGAAATAAATGGAAAAAAAAAAAAAAATTTCTTGGGGTGTTTCTTTTTTTTTTTTTTTTGTAAGGATCAGAAAAAAATCTGTTTGTTTAGATGAAAAATTTGGACTGGAGATGCGGTTTTTCCTCTCTCCCTCACGGCAACATGACCACATCTGGGAAAGCAGCTTAACGAATTATATGCTATGATAATTGATTGAATTCATCAGTAAATAAAGCAGGAGCCTTTAAACTCGGGGTCTGGAGAGGGAGGAAAAAAATTCTCCACACAGTGATTTGTACCAACCGGTGCAAGAGCTATCATGCCCACGAAACCACAGCCATCAGGGAAAGTAACACACAAGGCTGCATACCTGATAAAAAAAAAAATGCTATTTCTGAGGTTTAAATCAGTAGGGAATACTTTCTCTCCCCTCCAGAAGCCCCTTGGTTGCTCAGAGAGATGGGTAAGACAGGAGTTTTGAAGCACCCTTGAATGCTTTGGGAGATGGGATGAGGAAGCCAAAAATATGTTTTATGATAAAAGAAGAGGAAAATGGGCTTGAGCATCCCTAGCCAGAGACCGTAGGGCTGGGATACCCAGAAAAATCCCCAAATCTTCCTGAGGCCATCCCCA